CTCATTAATTCTCCAATAACTGCCGAAAGAAGCTGCAGGCAACCATCTGAAGAGCAGCAATTTGGACCCATCTTTCTTGGCTTTGTTATCTGTATCTGGGCTTGTTTGGAGAGCTTCAGTCCATTATTATTATTTTTTTAATTAGAAAGTTTCAAATTATGATCTATTCTGATTAACCTCCTGGCAGTAGAACCTCCTGGGAACCTTCATGAAAGGTTTCAACTAGTTCTTAATTTAGATAACAAGCAAATTCTGATCCTTTCAGTTTTAGTTCAACACTCTGAGAACCAGGGCTGGATTAACATAAGGGTCGCGGATGGAGGGGGCCCGTGATTGGCTGTGGAGGAAAGGAAAAGTAGACCTAGATTGATTGGACATCGGGACCACCCAAACTTTTCCCGGTGGGCCGATCGCCGGAACCCCACCACGCCCCCACATATTATAAGCGCTGTTATTAAAGCCCAAAAAATATTTTGATTTTTTTTCATGTACATTAGCACTCAATAGGTGCTGAACAAAAGTGCACTAGAAAGATAGCTATAGCTATAACTATAGCGCCGACCATGTAAACGGAAGTGTCAAGGTAAACTGTAAATAGGCGATTTAATCCACAGCACCACACTTATTACCATGCAGTTCCTGACACTGTAGAAATATGGCATTAATGATATATATGATTAATGTCACGAAAATTATTATAGGCTACTTATATTAAATATTGGGTAAAATAAAGGCAATAAGTCACTTTAATAGAAGTTTATTAATACTATACAGTTAACTTTGGATTCAAAAATTACAATAGCTTTTCATTAGGGCAACTACAAAGGATAATTTAATCAACTTTAATTGCAGAAAAATGTGAATTCAATAATTAAGAGCCTGCAATATAATGGAATATTAATATTGTTAAATGCTTTTGAAGTATTCTTATTGGTTCCCGTCCTTTATTTATTCCAATTGCCCTAACCACAGCAAATTATTAGGGCCTCATGGCCTAATGGTTAAAGAGTTGGACTTGTAACCTGAAGGCTGTGGGTTCAAGTCTCAGGTCTGACAGGAATTGTCGGTGGGTGGAGTGAACTCTCTTCTACCTTCAATAGCATGACTGAGATGAAAGGACTGAGGTTATGGTTATAACATACCCATGAAATATTTAGATATAATTTTAAAAATTTAAAAACCAAAACTAAATATTCCTCTGGCAGAAAACATTGTGGCACCAAGATAGGCTACTAGGAAGAGGGTTTGCTATTTTGCTATAGCCCAAAGGCCCAAAGTTTCTTAATCTGCATCTGATGTTGGTGAATGTGACTGTGGAAATCAATAGACATGAACAGTGTGATTCTCATGATCCTGCATCCATTCCTAAGGCATTTCTAATATGATGTTCTCCATGATATGAGATGATGATGGACTGGTTTCTGAGAGCAGATGAATCTCCAGGACTTTACCTCTGTCTGAGATCTTCTTGAGCTCCTCTTTGCAGAAATCCTCCAGTTTGTCTCTCAGCTGATGGATAGATTCTCTCAGAGCATCAGAAGAGAAGAGAGAACTGAAGAGATCATCATTTACGTCTGTAGATTCAGGAGGTGCTGAGAGAGACTGGAAACTCTACAGAAAACAGAAGTCAAAACTCATCAGCTCCACACGTCACCCAATAACCTGCAGGAACATCAGATTTGTTGTTCTTGTTGACTTGACTGATCTTTAGTAACTCACCTCAATCCAGCACTTTCGCAGCATCAGCTTCATTCTTCTCATATTCATTAAATCACATTAGAGCTACAGATTCTAGTATTTGCCGCTTATACTCTATGTGAGCTTTCTAGGAATAGTTTGGATGAATAAACATCTGCTAAGAACATAAATGTCAATCTAACAGTTCAAGCACATCAATGGAGTCTCATTGTAGGGTTGAGTAGATTTTCTCAGGAAAAGCATCTCAAAGGCTATGATTAGATTGACCATTATTTATAACATTAGAGCGGTTAGAGACACTGAAACTTCACAAGGACCCTTAAGACAGAGTCTTTTTATTTTATTTTAAAAATTAGGTGTGAAGTTTTAAACTGTTGGTGGCGCAAGTGGTTTTTGACAGCTAAATATATCTTCTAGAAAAAATAACTCAAAGAAATGGTTTCGAAGAGATTTCCAGAGCTGAAAGCCATTTGTAAGCAGCATCTCTTTCAAAAGAAGATAGTCAGATGAGAGTCGGACTGATGATTATATAATAAAACACTCATGAAATGTTTCTCTGTCACAGCAGGATCTGCTCAAGTCCACTATGATCCTGTTCTTCTAGATTTCTGTTACCTGCAGGAACTGGATATTATCCTGTGTGTGTGAAAGCTGCTCCAGTTCAGCGTCTCTCCTGCTCAGATCATTGATCTCCTTCCCCAGCCGCTCCAGTCGTCCTCCAGCTCGACTCACTGCAGTCTTTTCCTGATCTCTGATCAGCCGTATCAGCTCAGAGCGGCTTCTCTCAATGGAGCGGATGAGCTCAGTAAAGATCCTCTCACTGTCCTCCACTGCTGTCTGTGCAGAGCGCTGTTAGGAATCAGAAAGAGCTTTATTGCCACACTATACAGTATATATCTGTGTGTGAGTGTGTATTTTTATTTACTTATCTTTATTCTTAAAGATATACTGTGTATATATATATATATATATATATATATACACACACACACAGTATACACATATAAACAAAAAATAGACAAGAATTGTATGTACAGGTGTGCTATAGATGGAATAAGATGTAGGGATGGACTAAGATAGGTGGTATCAAGTAAGTATATAAGTGGTATTGCACATAATATTATTGCACAATTTAATGGTTCATGAGGTAGGTTGCCTTGGGGAAGGAACTTTTATTGTGCCTAGCTGTCCTGGTGTTTGGTTCTCTGTAGCGCCGACCAAACGGCAACAGTTCAAAGAAGAGATGACTTGGGTGTGAGGCATCCAGGGTGATTTTCTGTGTCCTTGAAGGTTGGCAGGGGAGCACCAATAATCCTTTCAGCAGTCAGAACCATCCTCTGTAGTCTTCTGATATCCGACTTTGAAGCTGAACCAAATGAGACAAGTATTGAGGTGCACAGGACAGACTCAATGATGGCTGAGTAGAACTGTTTCAGAAGCTCCTGTGGCAGGTTGAACTTCCTCAGCTGGCGAAGGAAATACAGCCTCTGCTGGGCCCTTTTGGCAATGGAGTCAATGTGATTGTCCCACTTCAGGTCCTGAGAGATGGTGGTGCCTAGGAACCTGAATGACTCCACTGCAGCTACAGTGCTGTCTATGATGGTGAGTGGAGGGAGTGCAGGGGGGGTTCCTCCTGAAGTCCACAATAATCTCCACTGTTTTGAGCGTGTTCAGCTCCAGGTTGTTATAACTGCACCAGACAGCCAGCTCTTTAACTTCCTGTTTGTAAGCAGAATCGTCACTGTCCTGGATGAGGCTGATAAGTGTGGTGTCGTCTGCAAACTTTAGGAGCTTGACAGATGGGTCAAGTAGAGGTATAGTCACTGGTGTACAGGGAGAAGAGCAGTGGGGAGAGGATGCAACCCTGAGGGGCACCAGTGCTGGTAGTGCATTGTATTGTTATATTGTAGAAACTTAATTTTTGCTGTAAAGTTGCTTTGCAACAATTTGTGTCGTGAAAAGTGCTATACAAATAAACTTGAACTGAATTGAATTGAATAGTGCAGCTGTTTGACATGAATTTCCCCAGTCTCTCTAGCTGTTGCCTATCTGCTAAGTCTGTAGTAAGGACTGTAAAAAGATGGACCAACTAAACAGAGTGGGCATGTTTCGCATATACTGAAAAATTAGTGTTTACTATTTTGCATTATTGACACACTATTTTCCTAATTAATGCTGTTCAGTTGCTTTGACACAATCTGTATTGTTAAAAGCTCTATATAAATAAAGGTGACTTGACTTGACTTGATTGTCGATTCAAAACTCCCGGTCTCATACCCCACACCAGCTCTAACCATCTCTCTACACATCCATTAACACCTCCAGCAACCCCCTCTCCCCCACTCCTGCACTTCAGATCAGTGAAGATGATGTGCATCAGGTCTTCAGAAAGCAGAAGAAAAAGAAAGCACCAGGCCCAGTTGGTGTTTCACCAGCCTGTCTGAAAATCTGTGCTGACCAGCTGGCCCACATCTTTTCACAGATCCTCAACAGATCACTGGACTCTCCCTGTTGAGAGACTGGTGTTGGCTTATCTGAAGGACATCACTGGACCCTTACTGGACCCCCTGCAGATTGCTTACTGAGCAAACAGGTTTGTGGCTGATGCAGTCAACATGGGACTGCACTACATTCTCCAACATCTGGACAAACCAGGGACTTATGCAAGGATCCTGTTTGTGGACTTAAGTTCGGCCTTCAATAACATCATCCCAACACTCCTCCAGACCAAACTAACCCAGCTCTCTGATCCTAGCTCTGTTCCTTCAGTGGAACTGAAAGAGGTGAGTCTGAACTGAGACAAGCTTCTCTTCTTCTCCAGACTCACCTTATGAGACTCCACAGCCTCTCTCAGCTGCTGAAGATCTTTCTCTCGCTGCTGGATTCTCTGCTGGAATGTCTTCTGCATCTCCTTCAGCTGCTTCTGCGGGACAAACGGATGATAGTGAATGTCACAGAAAACTACTGGCACTAAATCTTCATGTGAACAGATGAATCCAGTAAAAGTGGAGCTGTTAACTAATGGCTGTAGGTTCAAACTCCAGAAGTGATGATCGTTACAATCATCATACATGAATTAACATGAAGATTAAGGCATGTTTTACACTGCACGTGTATAGTATTACACTATTACATACAGTGATAGTGAAACTGACACAGACATAGAGCTTCACATTGAGAGTGTTTCTGTGTTCTGTGTAATTAAGCTGCAGCCCTACACAGTAAACAAATGAACAAAGTGAAGCTTTAAATGACTGAAATCATCTAGATTCAGTCAGATTTACTGACATCTGTCACTGCATTTAGCTTGTACTTTGACTGATATAATTATACATTTTGTCGAAGAATGAGTGATTAGTTCACTCCATTATTTTATGTTGCTTAATCAAAGCCTAGTTTACAAAAGATTGTGTTGATAAAGGTTTACTGCTTTTTTCAGCAAACAGTGAAACTCTTCTTGCAGCTGCTGTTCATTTCTGCTGCTGTGTGCAGTGTGAATGCTGTAAGCTGTTAATATGGGTGCAGATATAAACACATATAAAAAAAAGTCTCAACAATATTTCATCAGTGTCTAGTTTTAAATACCTGCTTCTCTGTCCTCTGTGCTTCAGTTGATACAGTGTCGTGGTTTTTATGGTCATCTATCGTACACAGCACACATATACATTTCTGGTCAGTGCGACAGAAAACCTCCAGGAGCTTCTCATGTTTCTGGCAGATCATCTCCTGCAGTCGTCCAGTGGCATCAGTCAGATTGTGTCTCTTTCCTTTAAACAAACTCTCATGTTGTTCGAGGTGATTCTGACAGTAAGAGTTCAGACACACCAGACAGGACTTGACGGCTTTGTATTTTCTTCCAGTACAGACGTCACACTGCACATCTCCAGCTCCAGCGTCACAGTCAGCAGAGTGTTTCCTCTTCTTCGGTTTCTCCACCACTTCAGCCAGCATGGTGTTTGTAGCTAAAGCAGGTCTTGGACTGAAGGTCTGTCTGCACTGAGGGCAGCTGTAGACTCTCTTCTGATCCTCCTGATCCCAGCAGCCTGAGACCAAACTAACCCAGCTCTCTGATCCTAGCTCTGTTCCTTCAGTGGAACTGAAAGAGGTGAGTCTGAACTGAGACAAGCTTCTCTTCTTCTCCAGACTCACCTTATGAGACTCCACAGCCTCTCTCAGCTGCTGAAGATCTTTCTCTCGCTGCTGGATTCTCTGCTGGAATGTCTTCTGCATCTCCTTCAGCTGCTTCTGCGGGACAAACGGATGATAGTGAATGTCACAGAAAACTACTGGCACTAAATCTTCATGTGAACAGATGAATCCAGTAAAAGTGGAGCTGTTAACTAATGGCTGTAGGTTCAAACTCCAGAAGTGATGATCGTTACAATCATCATACATGAATTAACATGAAGATTAAGGCATGTTTTACACTGCACGTGTATAGTATTACACTATTACATACAGTGATAGTGAAACTGACACAGACATAGAGCTTCACATTGAGAGTGTTTCTGTGTTCTGTGTAATTAAGCTGCAGCCCTACACAGTAAACAAATGAACAAAGTGAAGCTTTAAATGACTGAAATCATCTAGATTCAGTCAGATTTACTGACATCTGTCACTGCATTTAGCTTGTACTTTGACTGATATAATTATACATAGAATGAGTGAATGAGTGATTAGTTCACTCCATTATTTTATGTTGCTTAATCAAAGCCTAGTTTACAAAAGATTGTGTTTTTACTGCTTTACTGCTTTTTTCAGCAAACAGTGAAACTCTTCTTGCAGCTGCTGTTCATTTCTGCTGCTGTGTGCAGTGTGAATGCTGTAAGCTGTTAATATGGGTGCAGATATAAACACATATAAAAAAAAGTCTCAACAATATTTCATCAGTGTCTAGTTTTAAATACCTGCTTCTCTGTCCTCTGTGCTTCAGTTGATACAGTGTCGTGGTTTTTATGGTCATCTATCGTACACAGCACACATATACATTTCTGGTCAGTGCGACAGAAAACCTCCAGGAGCTTCTCATGTTTCTGGCAGATCATCTCCTGCAGTCGTCCAGTGGCATCAGTCAGATTGTGTCTCTTTCCTTTAAACAAACTCTCATGTTGTTCGAGGTGATTCTGACAGTAAGAGTTCAGACACATCAGACAGGACTTGACGGCTTTGTATTTTCTTCCAGTACAGACGTCACACTGCACATCTCCAGCTCCAGCGTCACAGTCAGCAGAGCGTTTCCTCTTCTTCGGTTTCTCCACCACTTCAGCCAGCATGGTGTTTGTAGCTAAAGCAGGTCTTGGACTGAAGGTCTGTCTGCACTGAGGGCAGCTGTAGACTCTCTTCTGATCCTCCTGATCCCAGCAGCCTGTAATACAGCTCTTACAGTAATTGTGTCCACAGGAAGTGGTCACTGGATCCTTCAGGACATCTAGACACACGGCACACAATAACTCATCCTGAGATGCCATTTTACTGCATGAATACAGAAACAGAAACACACAACAGCTCAACTACACTTCAGTTTCTCTTTCCCTGAAATCACGTGTTTCCTGTTTCCTGCTTCTGTGTTTGAGTGATTTGTGTGTAAAAAAGGTCTCTCTCTCTCTCACACACACACACACTATCATTATGGGTTCATTCCATAGGTGTAATGGTTTTTCTACTTAAACTGTATTTTCTATCCTTTTACCCTAACCCTTCACCTAAACCTACCCCTCACACAACTACAAGCAATTTTTGAATTTCCAATAAATAAATAAATAAAAATAAACACAATTTAATGTTTTTTAAAGCCATTTGTTTACAGGGACATAGGAGGTGTCTTCACAAACCATGTTTACGCTGTAGTACCCACACTGTAAAAAATTTCAAGTTGTTTCAACTAATTATTTAGTAACTAGTTCCACAGAAATTTTACATTCAGTCGATTTCAGTCTTCAAATTGTTGCCCGAATTGTTATTTTTTTAGTTGGTTCACAGTTGGCTTTACTGAAATAGTTTTATTATAGTCCATTCAACTAAAATGATTTAATTGGTCAAACATTTAGAAAACTACAGCAAATGAGATCAATTAAAATTTAACCATTTACTCCAAGTGTTTCATATGGTCATACTCAGCAGAGAAATGTGGTTAGAGTGGGTGTTATATAGTGAATGAGGTAATTAGAAACAGCTGTGTGCAATGAGTGCAATCAGGGCAGTGTGCAAATTGTGCAAAGAATGATGGGAAATGTAGTCCGGGGTGCTATGCAACAGTTTGTGTAGTGCGAGAGTCAATGAAATGGAAAGGGTGACCTCTGGTGGTGAATAAACAGAAGTCCATGGACTGAATTCGTGACACATATGTTACCTCAACTAAGATTTATTATTTGGGCATGTAACAACTCATTATGTAATAACTGCACATAATGTAATAAGTATTATATTATTAATGTAATAAAATGGTCATAATGTAATAATTTTCTCAAAATGTAATAAAAACTTGAGCTCAAAATGTAACAACAATTATTACATTATTATAAATATAATTATGACAATATTTTTGGTCAGTTTATAATGTAATACATTTATTATAAAGTATAAGCAGCCCAGTATAAGGGACAGTCAATATATTTGTGCTGTTATTTACCCTATGTGTATAATATATTTATATATATGTATATATATATATATATATCACAGTGTGCCAAAGACGAGGACTAGGAGAGATACAGGTAACGTAAACTTCACTTTTATTAAGTAAACACAAACTCAGATCAACAGAGGTATCTCCATGGAAGCAACTGAGGTGAATGTGGCAGAGAGTGCATGAGAACAGTCTTATCTGAGACACCCGGTTTCCAGTCCACCGTCCTATTTAGAAATAATTTGTACATGAATGGATTAAGCAAAGCAAATATGTTCACGTCTGAGATTCATTTTAGTATTTATATAGAATAACTAAACTATAGCTGAACTTTAGTGAGGGGACATTGTTCTTCTTAGCATCATGAAAAAAAAAACTTTAAAATTCTGAATGCATTACAGAAGTAGTATGTGTGCAAAGAGTGCTCCCTTTATAATTTCAAATGCACTGAGCCTGTCACTCATCTCAGTTCATCAGTTCAATGGATGTGTCTGTAATTAGCTACACTGCTCAACACTGCAAACATTGTAAATAAAAACATCTGATGCTCTCCAGAGCGCAAATGCAAATATGCACAGAAGAAGAGTTTGTCAAATATGTCATTATTACAGTTTCAACTAAGGGTGCTCTTGTTTTTTTTTTTGTGTGTGTTAGAGGGATTCGCTCCCTAAACTGGGCGTGACATGATAAACTGCTTTCTGTAAGAATTTAATATGGAATGTTGCTTAAATACGGGGACAGTTGGCAATCCTACTATGCATGTTTTAAACACTTAGATTATGTTCTTACTTTGGCCATGCATTAAATGCACATCCTTGAAAGAGCGCAGTTTGCTGACATATTTACTTTGAAGTCTGTGTGAACCAGAAGTTGCTACCGACTGGATATCAGTGTGATGGCGTATTTCCAACTGAAACGGAATATTGAGTAGAGGACGGGGTTTTATTTTTGCGCTCCTCCTCTCATGTCTCAGTCACAGCAGACTAATGGTTGGAGGTGCGTGGTTAAGCAAATTCTGCCCAAGCCGTCAAACTGACGTCATCAGAGTGGGCATGCCATTCCAGAGTGATTATCAGATTTTGATTAACGATTACCAAAAAAAAATTTTTATTTTTCAGAGGATTAAATTGCACAGATTAATTATTGACTTTAAGACTAGCAATGTGCACTAACAAATTAAATATCGTAATTTTGATTTCATGTGGACTTTAACATCTCAGGGAATGTCCGTGGTATGAGGACAATGACAGTGGTTACATATAAATATATTTTAATTGATCAAAATTATTGCTAGGAACAATTCAGTTGCACCCCTACTAAATTATTTGTCCTTTGAATTAAAGGCATTTTTTATGAACAAATTTGGAAAAAACGAATAAAAGTTTCCAAAGTCTAATGTAGTCTGGGATAGGTTGTTATCTGCCTCAGGCAACGGCAGCACGGAGCACAAGTTAAATGAACAATTCTTTACTTTAATACAAGTTATAACATGAATGTAGAGATATGTTGAAAAATAAAGTACAACTTACAATCACGCATCATTTCTGTGCCTATAAGCGGTTTTAACCAGGGAAATCATCAGTATAACAGCCTGTGAAGAATGTGTCAGTTACGTCACATTTATCTCAGGAAGATAAAACCGTCTAATCATATCGCCAAAATTATAAATGCATTAGGCCTTTACATTTGTGTAGAATATAAACAAGTTTTTATAACAACCATTTAAATGAGTATCCCCCGGTTTCACAGACAGGGCTTAAGCCTAATACCAGATTAAAAGCTAAGTCTGTGCTGTTTCAACTGAAAGAAACTTGCTCTGACTGAT